AATGCCTTGGCATTCCACCTCCCCCCAAGCCCCCTCCACCTCTTTGTGCTTCTCCAGGTGCCTGTAGCATAACCTTCCCAGCCTAACTGCAGGTTAATTATTTGTCACCCTGTTCCCAAACACCTGCTGTGGGTCCCAGGCAAAGAAGGCAGGCTGGCTATGCGGAAGTCAGACTAGGAGAAGGTCCAGGAGGGCATGATCAGTTTCTGGGGAGCGTAAGGGCAGTGCCGTGGTCCCCTGATCTCATCTCCGCTGCACTCATGAGAAACCAAAAACCCACTGAGATGCCGTGGAAGGAGCTGATACTCTTCAAGTGGCACCACCCGCTTAGAGTTTCGGCAAAAGAGCAGAACGCAGATCTGAGGCGCAGCAGGAGTTTTCTCAGGCCCTCACCCCGGGGGTGTTCATACATGCCACTTTAGCTCATGGTTCTTTATCTCACAAGGGATCTGCACCAAAGTCTGTAAGAAATGCTCAGCAGACCAGCTTTGCATGGCAGGGGAATTCTCGGCATCACACATTACCCTGAATGGCCATGAATATTAAAAGAGAGATAGTCCCCCAGTTCTTTTTCATTTCTAAGGCTGCGGTCACATGGAGCATTAGTCACGCTACTGAGACAGATGATAGGCGGATTTTCCAGCACGATCACACCGCAACATCTGGGAAGCGTAGAGCTCCCATGGCGAACCCGAGGCTTCCCGCCAAAGATGCGGAGTTAAAAACTTTTACCTCCAAGGTACTAGTTTCCGGAAACCACGGGGCAAGGGCTGGCGTCTGATCGCGTTTCCAGTGGTAGTCCATGGCATCCGCCGCCTGCCCATGTCCCGTCGCAAACAGGTTCCCCCCCCCCAAGTCTCCACAGGATGCGCACAAGTACCCAACGGTGCATGCACACGAAGAGGAAAGCGAAAGTTCTGTTGCTCCGCAGAATCGCGCAAGCCGCTGGTGAGATCGCACCGAGCCACTTCTTTGCTGCACTGCAGGATCGTTGTGTGATCGCCACCTCCCCCCGAACCACGGGACGTCGGCGGGATGTGGGATCTGGCGGCCGCGCGTTAGTTTGCTCCGGGGCAAACAGCCACGTCCCCCCCCCCCGCATTTTCCGGCCCGTGTGACCGGGGCCTAAAATGAGGAGGAGCCAGTGATGAAAGTTGCCCAGGATCACCCTTTGGCTAATCTAGAGTCTTGCTGTGGCTACTTATGTTCAGAGATGCCATTAGTTCACATCTGTTAGAGCTGAATTCCGGGGGTGAATTCGGATCAGTCCTGGTTCAAATGAGGCTCTGCACTCTGCTTTAAAGAATCCCAGGATCCATGGTTTCTAAAAGGAAAGCCCTATGTAAACAGGTTTTGCCCAGCAGGTCTCTCCCTTCCATCCCGCAGGGCACACGTGACTCCTGAGACAAGAGATACTCCTAGAGGACTGTGCCTATCCCAGGGGTGGCCTTGGGTCATACAGAGATAGTGCTGGCCGTACCTGCAGCCGTGAATCAGCATGCTTGGGGGTGGGGTGGGAGCTATTTAAAAAGCCCCGGCTGCTTGTTCTCTCTCACACAGACAATCGTTCAGGCCACAATGTGGAGGCTCTTTATCACACTCCTGCTGGCAGTTGGAGGTAAAGTATAGACCCCAGCAGCAGGCATGTGCTCTTCCGCACCACTCGTCTACCACGGCTCAAGTGATCTTCCTCACTAGGTCCTTTTCTTCTCTCTCTTGGTGGATTGTGGCTGTAAGAGCAGAAGGAACGGCTTCCCTGCCCAAAACGTTGGCCTTCCCATATTTTGGCTGGCTTTAATGCTTCCTGGCTGGCCCTGCCATGCATACGTTCTAGGGAAGGACCTTGCCTCTTCCAGTGACAGTCGCCTGACACCTACGGAGCCAGCCCTTGCCAGCCTGCTATGAAATGCTCCGGTTTCAGCAAGACTTTTAGGACGCTGGATGCTAAGTGGCGATAGGATTTGGCAAGAATGCCTCTCAGTAGGGGACAAGGCTATAAATGCCACAGATCCTGCTCAGGTTTAGATCACGCAGCATACCTAAGCTTCATTAGAAACCTGGGGGAGTTTGAGTTAACAGTGAGCGTTGGAGGCAGACGGTTGTCCTTTGTGAAGGAAGCAGGAGGGTGGCTGTGGAACTATTGAGAGGTCTGGCAGATAGCCCAAAGGAAAGCCACCCCAGGTACTGCTGAGTGTGCACCGTTTATTTGCTTGGTTTATTCTCTGGCTTTTTCCACAGAGACCATCTGGCGGGCTGTCCTGGAGAGAGTGGGCAAGGCCAATGCCTCTGTCTCCCTCCTGTGGTATGCTGGGAAATAAGTGCAATCTCCCTTCCAGAAACCCCTCTCCGACAGAAGGAGTCCAGTGGCCTTGTCATGCATGTAATCATTGTCTCATTGTAATTTGCTTTCTCTTTAGCTCATGGCTGTGGAGAGCCCACCTATGCCCCTCTGGGAAGGGTAGTGAATGGTCAGGATGCTGTCCCTTATAGCTGGCCCTGGCAAGTAAGTATGGTTGCTTTGAGCTCCATAGAAATTTGGGGGCCTCAGTGGACCAATCACTTGGGTGAGGCTGAAGTTAAGTTCCTACTTCCTTGTTCCATGCAGAAGGCTTCAGAAGACTGAAGAAAGAGATGAAGTTCTGCACCCTGAAATAAGCTTTGGGATACCACAAAATAATAGACATCCTTTACTGGCATTCAGTCACCTTTCGGGGACTCCAGCGCTGTCTTCGGGCCACAGCTTAAATTTTGCACCCTGATACCCAAAAACTAGGGATATTGGGGTTTTGCGCCCGAAAATAAACCTTGGGCCACAATGGATCTCTTTGTTGAATAAGGAGCTGGGTGCCAGGAGCCCACTTCAACCTTGTATTGTTTAGGGAGTCCTTGTCTCACGCACTGAATGGGAATAAGTTAGCAATGGACATGGTGCGGGGGAGGAGGGGGAGCTTTATGGATAGATACATAACTGCCCTCCCCTGATGCTTTCCACAGGTCTCCCTGCAGTATGAGAGCAATGGAGAATTCCACCACACCTGTGGAGGAACCCTTATTGCCCCCAACTGGGTCATGACTGCTGGACACTGCATCTCGTAAGTTCTGTCACTGCGTGTACTGGATTTAAGCATCATCGGATAGGGCCTGAGGGAGCAGGAGTTCATTGTGCCCTGAGGTGGGAGGGTGATTTGTTTGAGCCTGAATAGCTGGTCTCCAAATGGACACTGGGGGTCTTCTGGAGCAGGGTGGCCCTCTCTAGCTTCCTTCAAGTATCACACATTTCCAACAAGGCCATGGAGCATTCATGGGTAGATATCAGTAGGGACAGACAACCATGGTGGAAGCCCTGAGCGGTTGGTCCCTGTGACTACCGCCCGTCCTAGTCTCCCCGAACTGAAGCAGACCAGTAGAATTAAAGCAAAAACTGGAAATTGCCAGCACTTTAACACTTTACTTGATTTTAATATTGTTTTTATATTGTTGCATTATTTATTAGGAACTGTATGTTTGTCATGAATTGTGTTTTATGTGTTATGAGAGTTTTTACCCTGTTGTGAGCCGCCCTGAGCCAGCCTAGGCCGGAGGGGTGGGATGGAAGTCAATAAAATAAATAAATAAAAAATAAATATAAACATATGTGGCTGCCTTATAGTGAACCAGTCTCCGTGCTCCATATAGTCCAGTACTGTCTCTCCTGACAGGCAACGAGTCTTCAGAGTCTCAGGTATAGAAAATTGACATCCTTTGAGGTCCTTTAAACTGGAGGTACTCGGGACTGAACATAGGTCCTTATGCTTGCAAAATCTTGCACTGAGACAAGGGAAAAAAGTGGGGGGAGGCTGGCCTGCATATTTTCAACCATCTAGCTCCGAACCAAGCTGGCTACCTTTTGTTTCCTAAAGATTGTCTACCTATCTCACGGGAAGAGTTTTGTTTGGGCCAGAGTTCCTTGGGTTTTGGCACTGGAAATGATTTCCCCAGCCAAAACTCTGTCCTAGAAAGTATGACTTCATAATACAGAAGATATTGCCTTTGTACATATGCAGAGTGCCTCGTCCTAATGCCAGAGCAGCCACAAGTAGTCCACATTCAGAATGAAGGAGCAGAGGTTCAAGATCAGAGAGGATGGGCCCCAGCACTTCTCATTTTGCAAATAAACACTAGAATGAGAGAAGGCTGCCATGGAAATTTTCACCCAGCCCTGAATCCTGCCCCAATTCCTCTTTCTCTGCATGACCCCCCTTCCTTCCCTTTCAGCTTGTCCCGCCGGTATAAAGTTGTGCTGGGGGAGTATGACAGGAGTAATGCAGAGGGCTCTGAGCAGCACATCCCTGTGAACTCAGGGGACATATTTGTGCATCCTGGCTGGAACAGCAACTGTGTCTCTTGTGGGTAAGTACAACATCTGCGGGAAAGGGTATGCCATCTGAGGGACTATGCTATCCGGCATCTCTGGTGAAGAGGTTGAAAAGAAGAAGGGCCATGTAAAAACTGTGTTGCACACAGGCCAAGAGGAAGATCTGGAGCCCACACAAGCTGGAGAGGCAACTGTAGATGGTTTTGTTTGGTTGGGCCAGGAGGAGTAAGGGGAGGACTAAAGTCAGTGTTGTGGGACCTGTCTCGCCACATTTTCTGGGGCTCTTTGTTCCCTTGTTCTGTGCCAGCAACTAAATTATTTGCAGAAAGTTGGCTTGTAGAAAATTCATATCACATTAAGGGCTCGTTGTTATACTGGCTGGTGGTCAGTCATGTTCTTTATCTTGATTCAAAACTTTAGACTGAGGCATTTCGTTTTGATGGAGACCAGCTCTCTGGCACACTTAGAAAGATGCCTCTGAAATTCCTGGGTCTACTTGCTGGAGAATGTAGTTCTGTGAGATTTACAGAACTACAAAGATTCAAGGAGGCTTTAATCTGAGCCAGGATTTGGCTCCGGAACATATCTGAAAAGCCTGGAGGCAGCAGTTGAATGTGTGAACTAACCACAAATGAAGTGAATGTGTGCAGAGTGTCTCCCTTCCTCAGTGAGTAGCCCACAGCAAACTCCCGTGCAACTTGGATCAGAGGACTATGGCCCCGGTCACGCTGGGGGAAATAGGTGAGGCCAAAGTGCGGCTTTTTTGAGCCGCACCAAAAGAGAAGCGCGTCGGCGGGATCAGACAGATCGCACCAGCCACCACGCAGTTCCTCCCCGGCACGATCAGATGCCGGGGGGATGCCACGGACCGCAGAGCGAGGCGAGCCCACTGCGCATGCGTGTGCATGCACAGTTTAGCAGGACCTCGCATGCTGCAGGAGAGACGGACTCGCTGGCGATCACACGTCCGCCCCTGCAGCGGATTTTTCGGTAAGTACTAGTGTTTCGTAGTTTTTTTTCCTGATCCGCATCTTCGGCCGGAATAGACGGATCGGGGACGGGTGCGCGCGCTTCCCAGATGTTGCGGTGTGATCGCGCCCGCTTGATGCACCCCCGATCCATCCCTCTTGCGGATCAAAGCCTCCCGTGTGACCGGGGCCATGGTTTCATGTGGGTTTGAGCTTGTCTCCCCTCCTGTTTGGAATGTTGCCTTAGGGTCACGTTATCCACCACTTCCTTTGGAGCAGCAAAGACCCTTTGGCACAGAGCCCTGGGAATTGATTGCCACAAAAAAGATTTCAGGATGCTCCTGTCAACCTCTGCATGACTTCTCCCCGTGACCCCTCTCCTTCTCTTCCAGGGATGACATTGCCCTGCTCAAGCTGTCCCGTGACGCAGTTCTCAACGATAAGGTGCAGCTAGGATGCCTCCCGCCCCAAGGAGAGCTACTCCCCAATGACTACCCGTGCTTCATCAGCGGCTGGGGGCGCCTCTATAGTATGTGACTCTATTCTGCCAATGGGGAAGGTGGGGACAGAGAGCTCAGGAAGAGTGCTGAGGTTAAGAAACTTCAACTTGAAGGCAGTGGTGATAACTGCCAGCCCCTGTCTATATTCTCAGCCTCATGGACATGCAGAGCCAGTTGATGGAAATCTACCACCCCCAATAGGCCCATCCCAGCATTTAGTGCTGTTGCAGGCAATGGAACACGGTCACAGTTGCTGTTACTTTCATCAGTGCTTCCAAACCTTTTTTGCTATAGTGATCCACAAGTTCAAAGGTACTTGGCATGGTGACCAAATGTTAAAACCCAGAACATGCAAAAATCAATAAAAATGCAAAAGCCAGAGACCCACTCTCACGGGCTTCACAACCAACTTTTGGGTCGGGACCCACAGGCTGGGAAATGCTGGCTTATAGCACTTTCTGGTGCTTTTCAACAACTGTAATTGGCAATATGGGACCTTTTCAAGTGGTTTCAGTTGTCTCACCCTTCTCTCCTTAAATGATGCAGTGGGAGAAAGTGCTGTTTCACTTCCCATAAAGGGAAGCCGCTGGCCACACAGAAGTTTCCCTCTAAGCCAGCCATTCCCTGGGCACACTTGCTCTTTGCTCTAGCCATGAAGTCAGTCTCAGTGTTAACCAATGAGAAATGTAGATGAGTAGGTATTTAAAGGAATATGCCTATGATCTGCTTAACACAAGTGTGGGAAATAAACAGTTTCAAGCATTGTGCTCCAGGGTTTGGTCATGTATAAAGACAAGGTCACAGAATGGCAGCAGCCAACAGGGAAGTCCTGTCAGAATGGTGGTGGCTGTCACAGGAGCCCGATCCCTCTTTGGACTCTCCCCCTACAGCTGGTGGACCTCTTCCCCCCAAGCTGCAGCAGGCCTTGCTCCCAGCAGTGGACCATGCACATTGCACACAGCCTACTTGGTGGGGAGCCACCGTCAAGGAGACTATGGTTTGCGCCGGAGGAGACACACGAGCTGGTTGCAATGTGAGTAATGGATGGCAAAACAGGAGACTCCAACTGGGGTGGGACTGTAGTGATGATGTTGCCATGGTGATGATGTTTACATTCTTAGGTCCTTGGGACTATTTCTGGAGTGGGACAATAGAAAGCAGGCAGTGCCATATAAGATCTGGTGCACTTCCCAGTCCAGCTAGTTAACAGCAGGGCTATTTCTGGGCAGGAACGCACAGGAACAGAGTTCCGGCCAGCTTCAGAGTTGGCCACGCCCACTACAGCCAAAACCTCTGCATGCATGGCTACAGAGGGAAGGCCTGGAGAGCAACCCCCCCCCCGGCGACTCCAAGGCGGGATGTGAGTAATGGATGGCAAAACAGGAGACTCCAACTGGGGTGGGACTGTAGTGATGATGTTGCCATGGTGATGATGTTTACATTCTTAGGTCCTTGGGACTATTTCTGGAGTGGGACAATAGAAAGCAGGCAGTGCCATATAAGATCTGGTGCACTTCCCAGTCCAGCTAGTTAACAGCAGGGCTATTTCTGGGCAGGAACGCACAGGAACAGAGTTCCGGCCAGCTTCAGAGTTGGCCACGCCCACTACAGCCAAAACCTCTGCATGCATGGCTACAGAGGGAAGGCCTGGAGACCAACCCCCTGGCAGCTCCGAGGCGGGTGGGCCTGGAAGGATCAAGGAGGCGTTTAAATGCCTCCCTGTGCCTTCCCCAGCCTGTCCAAGGGCCGCGGCTGCCTTCCCTTCCCTTCAAGGGGGGGGGGGGCTTGCCCGGGCTCCCCGCAGCTGTCGGGCACCCAGGCAAGCCAAGGGAAGGCATGGGGTGTGGCCTAATATGCTAATGAGCTGCACTGTCAGGGGTGTGGCCTAATAGGCTAATAGGTTTCTGCTGTTGGGTGTGGCCTATTATGCTAATGAGTTCCTGCTGGGCTTTTTCTACAAAGAAAGCTCTGGTTAACAGACTTCAACTTAACGGATGTAGAAGTAACAACAAACTAAAAATGTGCTGCTGAGGTTTTGGAGATTGCCTTCGGCTTTTGACTGCTGTATTTATCATGTAGAAACAGTAACTGCAGATAAATATATGGTCTGAGTAGCACTAAAAGGTACAACAAAAATCTTGTTGGCCCCTTTAAGGAACAGTTTTATAGCAGAAGCTTTTGTTAACTGAAACCTACTTCATCAGATGCTCATGTAGAATGAAATGTTTTCTTTATTGTACAATGCAAAGCTTTTGAAATTCTATACCATTTATTTTCAGGGTGACTCTGGTGGCCCTCTTAACTGCCAGGCTGCAGATGGGAGATGGTATGTCCATGGCGTTACTAGCTTTGTATCTTCCTGGGGATGCAACACCTTGAGAAAACCCACCGTCTTCACCCGGGTCTCTGCTTTCAATTCCTGGATGGAAGAGGTATTGCTCCATGGCCTAGCTTGTATCAGGGGATGGGGAAAGAGCATGCTGGCAGATGCCTATGGAACTGGCATCTCTCCTGTCACTATGGGATGGCATGGGATTACCTCATAGGAAGGACAGACTTCCCTAGTCCATTCTCAAATGCAGAATATCCCACTTAGTTTCCAGGAGGCAAAGAGGGAACATGAAAGGTCAAGTGAAGGAAGCAGGGGTTGCCTTGGAACTCATGAATAAAATGCAGAAGCTTGGCTAGAGAAGCATCTTGTTTATTGGGCATTTTAGCTCCTTGTGAAGTTGCCCAACTGAGTCCAGTCCCACCTGCACGTAAAAGACTGCAGCTGTTAGCAAGGCACACAGCAGACTCCCAGGGTCAGATTTCTGCAGACTTAGGCTTGGAACTAGGGGCCAAATTCAGACTGCAGATTCCTACTGGCCTTGTATTTTTACTTGTAACACAGCTCTGGTTTTGCTTTGCAGACGATTTCCAACAATTAATTTCAAGCAGCAGCACCCCATCCCTCACTGGATCATGCCTGTTAAGAATAAAATACTTCTTGACTAACATGTTTGTTTCTCGTAGTTCCTTCTCTTGCTTATATTTCAGAGGTTGCCAAACATTGAATACATCAAAGGCATTTAGTCTTCCTTCACCAATGTTGGATCAGGCCAATGGCCCATCCAGTCCAACACTCTATCACACAGTGGCCAAAAATACCAGGTGCCATCAGGAGGTCCACCAGTGGGGCCAAGACACTAGAAACCCTCCCACTGTTGCCCCCCCCAAGCACCAAGAATACAGTGCATCCCTTGCCCCAAACTGAAAGCTCCTATCTATACCTTGTGGGTAATAGCCACTGATGGACCTCTGCTCCATATGTTTATCCAATTCCCTCTTGAAGCCGTCTGTCCATGTAGCCGCTGCCACCTCCTGTGGCAGTGAATTCCATATGTCAATCACTCTTTGGGTGAAGAAGTACTCCTTTTTATCTGTTCTAACCTGACCGCTCAGCAATTTCATGGAGTGCCCACGAGTTCTTGTCTTGTGAGAAAGGGAGAAAAGTACTTCTTTCTTTACCTGCTCTGTCCCGTGCATAATCTTATAAACCTCAATCACGTCACCCCTCAGCCATCGTTTCTCCAAGCTAAAGAGCCCCAAGTGTTTTAACCTTAACTGCCATTCTAACGTATTTGATAAAGTGCGTGTGGACACAAAAGCTCACACTTTGAATAAACCTTTGTTGGTCTTAAAGGTGCCATTGGACTCTAAATTTGTTGTATTTCTTTACACAATGAGAGATCAAAATGTGTAATTCACAGCCAGAGGATGTAGTGATGGCCACAGGAACAGACAGCTTTAAAGGGGATTACATAGATTCATGGAGGATAAGTCTATCCATGGCTACCAGCCACATTGACTGAGGGGACCCAAGGCTCTGAATCCCAGTGCTAGGAGGCAACATCAGGAGAAGGTCTTGGCCTCTGTGCCCTGTTGTTGGACCTCCAGGGTAACTGGCTGGCCACTGTGTGAGATGGGATGCTGGACTAGGTGGACCATTAGTTTGATCCAGCAGGGCTCTTCTTAGGTTCTTATGAAGGCCTTATGTTGTTGGCCCTCCAGAGGAACCGGCTGGCCACTGTGTGAGACAGGAGGCTGGGCTAGATGGAGTGCTTGTCTATTCCAACAGGGCTCTTCCTGTGGTCTTATAATGCTGAATATCACCTTGTGTGGCTTGTGAGTACCACGCAGGTGTCTTGCAAGCCAGACAAGTAAGGCTGAGGTCCTGCTTCCAGTGCCACCAACCAACCAGTCCCATTGACTAGTCCTGTCACACACACAACTTAAAAACACAGTTCTGGGCAGCATCATGTGTGGCTCTCTTTTGCTTTAGCTGCACAGCAACCTCCGTGTGAGGTGAGCTGTGACAGAAAGAGCGTGCAGGGTTGACTCATGGGCATCCAGGGGGCTGCAAGGCGGAGCGGGGATGTGAATCCAGGTCCTGTTCCCCCTCCAACCCTACACCCCCCCTGCTTTTCATGATGGCAACTTGCTAAAAGTTCTTCTCTGTCTCCACTATACAACAAACAGTTCCTCTTCAATATCCTGATCTCCAGTGACTTAAAATAGAGTCCAAGAGGGTATGGATACATTTGGTGAAATGGGCCGTGGTGGCTCAGAGGTTAAGACGCTGAGCTGCAGACTGGAAGGTCGGTAGCTCGGCAGTTTGAGACCCGAGTGCTGCATGACGGAGTGAGCTCCCGTCTCTGGGATCAGCTCCTGCCAGCCTAGCAGTTTGAAAGCAAGAAATTGCAAGTAGATAAATAGGTACCGCTTCGGTGGGCAGGTAACAGCGTTCTGTGCACCTAGGTGTCTAGCCATGCCGGCCACATGACCACGGAAACATCTTTGGACAGCGCTGGCTCTTCGCCTTGGAAACGGAGATGAGCACCGCAACCCTAGAGTTGGATTCGACTGGCTTTTGAGCAACGGAAACCTTTATCTTACCTTACACTAAAAAAAAAGACTGCTGTACAACAGTTTGAAATACTTCCCCCCACACACACCCTAGAAATATCCAAGTAAAGTACATCAGATTGCCCTGTGGATACTGACTAAGCCTAGCCCTGCATAGCTTTAGCGATATGGCCGCATCCTGCACAGCTCTTAAATCATCATCAGGGACTACACCCCACACCATCTGCAGTGTTAGAATGACAGTTGTGTGCTTCATGGTGCCTTGAACATGGGCGTGGAGGCACAGACCTGCCGGCACCCTAGAGACAGGGCTCGCTCAGCACTCCCCACTCAGATTTAACAGCTAAAGACCCTGGAACAGGAGGGGGGGGCTCAGTCCTGAAGAAGGACACGTCTGCCATCTCACACTAAAAACCTTTGAAAGCGTGTTATTGACAACATGGGAGATAAATACATAAAATGAATATTAGAGGGGAAGGGGAACTAGGGACACATACTTGCTGGGGACAGATACCAGAAAGGAGGGGCCCAGCCCAGCCCAGTCCATCGAGAGCATTGGAGTGCAGGGCACTGCCATGCGACTGCAGTTTGTTGTGACTTGAACAGTCCCAGTCTCTCTCCGGGCATCCCACTGGCATATGAACCTCAGATGGTGTCTCAGGGGCACTGCACACCATTCTCTGCTGCCAAGATCTTTGATGGGTCTACCTGGGTTTCAGTTGGAAGAGCTGGTTTGGTGACCAGGAGTAAAATAGTTCCACAGGAACTATTAACTGAATTGCAGCTGCAACTCACAGATCCTACCTGTCTTGGAAGACAGCAGAGCCAGCCACAGCTCTGAAGCAATGCAAAAATTGCACTGTGTGCAGTTCTGGTCACCACACCTTAAAAAGAATATTATAGCTTTGGAAAAAGTGCAGAAAAGGGCAACTCGAATGATAAAAGGGTTGGAACACTTTCCCTATGAGGAAAGGTTAAGGTGCTTGGGGCTCTTTAGCTTGGAGAAACGACGGCTGAGGGGTGACATGATCGAGGTTTATAAGATTATGCATGGGATAGAGCAGGTAGAGAAAGAGGTACTTTTCTCCCTTTCTCACAATACAAGAACTGGTGGGCACTCCATGAAATTGCTGAGTAGTTGGGTTAGAATGGATAAAAGGAAGTACTTCTTCACCCAAAGAGTGATTAACACTTGGAATTCACTGCCACAGGAAGTGGTGGCGGCTACAAGCATGGACGGCTTCAAAAGGGAATTAGATAGGCATATGGAGCAGAGGTCCATCAGTGGCTATTAGCCACAAGGTATAGATAGGGACTCCGGGGCAAGTGATGCTCTGTCATCTTGGTGCTTGGGGGAGGGCAACAGTGGGGGGGCTTCAAATGTCCTGGCCTCACTGGTGGACCTCCTGATGGCACCTGGTATTTCTGGCCACTGTGTGATAGAGTGTTGGACTGGATGGGCCCTTGGCCTGATCCAACATTGGCGTCTCTGATGTTCTTATGTTCAAAGAGGAGAGCGGGGGGGGGGCAAAGAGCAGGTCCAGCAAAGAAGACTAGCCAAGATTGGCCAAGATTGGCCACGAGAGACCCCCCCTGACTCCTCCACACCCATCAGAAGGGTAGCTTCCTTGCAGGGCAGCCTGGCTACCTAGCTATTGTCAATTCTCTTACACACACAAAAAAAGAAAGCAAGCCAGGAATCAAAATGAATCACACCCCTTCCACACTGCAGGCCTCTTAGCTTTCATGGTCAGGGAGTTGACAGTATGTCTGCTGAGAGCCTCCGTGGGACTGGACTCTCTTCTCACGGGGTCCGGCCGTCTGCGGATTCCAGGATGGTGCAGGGGGGGCCATTCTCTGCAGAGGAGCAGAACTCTACCCAGAGCCCCTTTCCTTGACAGGATACCAAAGCAGTTTCAAGAACAGAATAACACCCCAGCAGACCTAAGCAACTGGGGCATATTTCTGTGTGTGCGTGTATGGTGGGAGGAAATCCTGTATCTTCATATAGCGGCTAGCAAGAAGATTCCCCTGTTCACTTGAAAAGAAGACGAGGCCTTCTGGATCCCTGCCATGGTAACATCAAGACTATTGTAGAATGCAAATCCAGTCGGTACAGAACGCCACCGCTTGGTAATCATCTGGAGCTAGCTGGAGCAGGTACCAGTTTCAGTCCAATGTACTGGCTATCCCATACAAAGCCCTACATTGCCTTGAACCCTAGAACCCTCAGAACTGCCTATCCTCCTGTGCTTTGCCACAACAACTTTGCTCATCTGCTCAGGGGTTTCTGCAGTATCGCCCTGCAAACAGAAAAGTTCAACCGCTAACTGTACAGGCGTGTTCTCCGTGGAATGGCCCTGTCGGAGGAGGTCAGACAGGAAGGCTTTTTGCAAACCACATAACAGAGAATTGTTCATGAGGACAAATTGATAAAGATGAAAGGGTTATGCTGCAACGGAGTGGTTCAGGAAGGTGCTCTCATGAAAGGAACGGCACTGTGAACTATACCACATTAAGATTTATTTCTGGGCAAGTCTCCAACAATTTGGTTATCTTTCTAAGGATGCAGAAGTGAGATTTCTGCTGAAATGGTAAAAATAAATCCTTGAGCCTTCTTTGTTCTATCATATCCCATAAACTATCACGAATCTGTGACACCACCACGTGTAGTGTGTGTTATTTTTGCTGTATGTATTATCCTAGTGTCATTGCTTTGATTTTCTAATGTAACACCGTTTTCTGCATTAACATGTCCTGTCTAAGACTCTATGCTTTGTTTCCGACGGCTGTGATCCTGGTCCTGTGACACTGCTTGTCCCACTGATTGCGCTGATTTACGCTGTGTAATCCCGCCTTGAGTCTCAATGAGAAAGGCGGGCTGTAGATTAATAAATAAATATGTGCCCTCAAGTGAAAGAGGGGGCCATTTAAAATTTGCATACAAGTTATGTACAACTATTTAAAAAGTGTGCATGCACACAAAATCTTATACCTTAAATAAAACTTTCTTGGTCTTAAAGGTGTAAGTGGACTCAAACTTTATTCTATTTAAAAATTGGTTACATTCAGAGTCATCCAGGTAAATACAGTACATATGTAGAAAGAGAGAGGTCAGATATCCTTCATTATGTCAAGGAAGAGAGATTATGCAACATATCTCAAGTCTTTTCGTAGATGAAAACAGGGACATTGAGTAGCATTTACTACCTGGGTGAGAAAGGGGATAGAATGGAAACTTTATGTGCATGCATTTATACTTGAGTTTTATTTTTTTGTGAGTAGTGTCTGTGTGTGTGTGCGTGTGCGTGCTTAAGAGCCTGGAAGTCATGGTGACTTCTGTTGACCCTAATGGGGCTGGGGCATTTCAGAGAGGTGGCTTGATATAACCTGCCTTGGTATTCCTTGGAGGTCTCCCATCCAAGTACTTGCCAGGGTCGGCCCTGCTTAGCTTCTGAGATCTGATGAGATCGGGCTTGCCTGGGCTATCCAGGTTAGGGCCGTTTGTACCTGAGTTTAGAAGCATCCTTCCCCCAATAATCCAGTGATTTCAGAGAGAGAGAGAGAGAGAGAGAGAGAGAGAATGCGCCACATTAAGAGGGGTTTTTTTAAAGGTGTTTTACATGATATTCTTATTAAATGCAGTCTCTCTGAAAAGACAAAACAGGTGCCATGGTTTACTAGGGGCAGGTTCTCCCTGGTTAAAAAAAAAGCAACATTTGAACTCAGCCTTATGCACACTCACGTACGCATCACGCCAGTGAATGGATTTCTCTTCCTTCTTTGTGCCATAACAAATTGTGACCAAACCGCTTTCAAGGTCTCCACTAGGTGGCGTGCTGCTCTGAAGAATTCTGGAGCCTCAAGCCTTCAAAATGCGCATTTGTTTTCCAACACGGCAAGGAAGGAAGGAGTTTCCACAGCTCTCTGTAGGTCAAATGTGCATTTTCCCACCCAGAATAAAGTGAGCTGATCTGGCTGTCCCTCACCTTGGTCTTTATCATCTCTCTGTAATGGGGAGGGCTGGCCTATCCTTGTTCAAAAATAGCCCCCTTTCAACCAAGATTACCTGTTAATCGTTCACTGCTTTTTCCTCTCCCCCCCCCCGCACCTGCTTGGATTCCCAGGGGAGAGTCCAGTCGGTGCCAGGACCAGGGCCGTAGCCAGAATTTTTTACTTCAGGGGGCATTTAAATAAGTCGGGGGGCCACTGTGTTAGGAGCAATGAAAGAGCAAAAGTTTAAGAAAGCGAGGAGAGAGGGAGCAGATGTGCCTTGTGGCGTGCCTTGCAGGGTGATGGCTCAGCGTGGCACAGCCGTGGCATGCACAAAAAAATCAAATCAAATCAACTGGCTGGATGGGAAGTCCGGAGGCCTGGGTGGTAAGTCAGGGGGCCCGGCCCCAAGATGCCCCACTGTAGCTATGGGCCTGGCACGGAGGACCAGGGGAAAGGGGCCATCTTCTGCCCACGCCAAAGGCACGAGGTGCAAGGATTCGTTTCAACCGTGGCACTTTTGGGCGCCTGCCAGGATTCAGACCGACTGCTCCCTCCAAGCTGTGGAGTCCCGTGAGCAAAAATTCCACTTTGTGAGCACCTGGGATTAAAGTGGTGAGCGAGCGATTTAGCTGCTGCATCAATTAGTTTCCTCTGGAGCCCCACCCTTCCTGAGCGAAGACAAAAATGTGTGAGCCGGAGGCTAAAAGACTGGGAGCTGGCTCACACTCACTCAGGTTGTCAAGTACTCCAAAGCCACCGAGTATTTCAGTAACTGATGAAAAGCAAGCCCAGTTGCCCCTACTGCAGATCAAGGGCCTCTGTCCTTGGCCCAAGCACTGGCCAGCACCTGCGTACCTTTCCTGAAGATACCAAGGGAAAACAGCTGCTCTCTTCCCGCGATGTCCTAGGCTGGGCAAGTTATCTGGGTACCTGCGTTCACCTCTGATGCCTTGGCACTCCCGTTGCCTGGCACTGGCCCAAGTCGAATTGGGGAGGGCTGGGCTGCCGGTGTGGAAACCAGAGCGGCCTTGCTGCTGCACGATAGGGCAAGGCCACGCTTGTGTCCACAGCTGCCAGGACCACGGAGCCTGGCGCCACTTGATAAGGGGAGTATTAAAGGCTCCGTATCCCAACGAGTCAGCCTCGGCAAGATGCTGGTGCTGCTGATCCCTATTTGGCTGGCGGCTGGTGGTAAGAAGCGATCTGCATCCTCCTCTCTTTCTTGGCTGCGTTCAGACCTGGCGCTATACTGGGGTTTGATCTAGCACTAATTCGTTGTGGTTTCTGAATGCAAAGCGGGATCCCAAACTAGGGGTAGGAGCTGGTGTTTTGCGCTGTGGTTTGCCCTAATTTCCGAGTCCACAGGCCACACTTTGGGGAGCGACTGTGCCCCGTGTGAGCCTCTTGGCTCCTGCCACAGCGAGATAGGAAGGAGGTTCTCCCTGCTGGGAGGCAGCCGGAAAGGGAGTCCAGGCATTGTTACCTGCACCGGAGTTTGCCAGGGAAACCAGGGCTGCACAGAGCCCCACTTGGTCACGAGGTCTGAAGGCAGCCCCTGGGTCTCTCCCCTCCTGCTCAGCCTGGGCCAGAGCAAGGCAGCCCCCCCCCCCGCGGTCTTCTGCCCCCAGTTTGGGGGGCCCTTCTTCTGGCTGCCTCAGCTACCTTGAAGTACACCTCACTCAGGAGACAGGCGGCAAGGGAGGCAGGAGAGGCACGTCTGGGCCAAGCTAGGAGAAGGGGGAGGGAGAAGGGTCAGCGGCACCCGGGGGGCCCCCTCTCCTGTTCATTCTAAAGTACCTGGTGGTCACAGCCAGTGTTCCCTCTCAGCTGAGTTAGTGCGAGCCAGCTCGCAGTTTTTTAGCCTCCGGGAGGAGGGCTCCAGAGGAACTTAATTTATGCAGCAGCCCAATCGCTGGCTCACAGCTTTAATGCCGGTAGCTCACAAAGTAGAATTTTTGCTCACAAGACTCCGCAGCTTAGAGGGAGCCTTGGTCACCGCTTGCCTTCCGTGCACCCCCAGGGACAGAGAGGAACGCGGGAAGGGGTCTTCTACCAGCTGTGGCCCTTGTTCCTTTGGGCTCAGGGGTGCCCACTTGGACTGGCAGGAGCTCTCCAGAGTCTTGGGCAGAGAAGGGCCTTCCCCGATACCCCAGACCCTGTGCCTAGAGGGCCCAGGGATTAGAGGCGGAGCTCTGCTTGAAAAACAGGCCGTCTTTCCCGGAGCCACAGAGCCTCTGAGGGAACAGAATGCCCGAAACTCCTCTTTGCTCTCTCCCGCAGCCTCTGGGTGCGGAGAGCCAGTCTACGCTCCCAACGCAAGAGTGGTGAACGGTGAAGACGCCAACCCCTTCAGTTGGCCCTGGCAGGTGAGCCACAAGACTGTCCTCCTTGGTCCGCGTGGTCTAGGCCACAGTGGCTAGAGAGCCAGACCGGTTTGGGCAGATAGACTCAATACCACATGGTCCCCCTCCCTCCCCTCCCTAAACTCCGCCCTTCCCAGGCGCCACCCCCCCAAATGGCCTGAGAGGGACAAGCCGTGCCAGAGAGATCAAGGCAGGGACCCTCCTGTCCTAACGCGGAAGCTCACCTGTGCGAACTGTTGCCGCCACCCAGGTGTCTAAGCATCAACCCCCCCCTCTCTTGCCTCCCCGCAGATCTCCCTGCAGTACGAGAAGGATGGCGCATTCCACCACACCTGCGGGGGCAGTCTCATTGCCCCCAGTTGGGTCATGACGGCTGCACACTGCATCTCGTAAGCTCCCTCTGGCACAACGTGGGGCGGGCATCTTTCTTTGGAGGGGGATCAGCAGAAACAGCTGCTTGCCGGGCGGCAGGAAGGGGTTTGTTGCCAGTGAGGCCGTGAGGGCTTCTCCCCAATGGGGGGGGGGTCCCAAGCAGCCCCCAAGCCCCTTTGGTGGGGGACCCACTAGCATTCTTCACAGTGCCGGGGGAGGGGTGCCGCCGGCCACTCTGGCTCCTGTTAGATAAGTGGGACGGATGTCATTCGTCCCACCTCCCCAGGGTGGGAAGGAAGAGGGTTCCTGCTCCCAGCCCACCTGTGGCTGGATGAACTCCCTGCTTTGGGGGGCTTTCCACTGCGAGCTCCGTCTCCGCCACATGACCGCTTCCGTGGGGCTTCCCTTCCAGCGACTCCCGCCACTACGAGGTGGTGCTGGGAGAATACGACATGGACCAGGCGGAGGGCTCAGAGCAGCGCATTCCCGTGAACACTGACGACATCTTTGTGCACCCGCGCTGGCTGTCCTTCTGCACGGCCTGCGGGTGAGTGAGGCTTGGCACGTGTCCCCGGGTGCCCCTGGGCTGGGGAGGCTGCCGAGACCGAGTGGGATTCTGACGTCCTGAAGCTCCTTCTGGAGCTGCCTGCGAACAAATGTCAGTGCTGGAGGACTGAGATCTGACAGACCACAGCACCTCTGAGCAGGCACAGAGTGTTTTCCCTCTCCCCTGAGTAACCCCAACTAGCCTCTTTTGGGCCTGGGACTTGGGAAAAGTGGGGCACGCACGAGTACGAGGCACCTCTGGCTTGAGAAACTGACCCTTCCCAGGGGTGGGCTAAGAGTCACCCGACCCTTGAAGGTCTCTTTGAGAGAGCCAGTTTGGCATAGTGGTTAAAGAGTGGCAGACCCTAATAGGGGAGAACCGGGTTTGATTCCCCACTTCTCCACTTGCACCTGCTGGTGTGACCTTGGGTCAGTCACAAGTTCTTTCGGAGCTGTTCTCTCAGGGGGAAGAGCTCTCTCAGCCCCACCTACCTCATCACAGGGTTTCTGTTGTGGGGAGGGGAAGGGGAAGGGAAAGGAGATCGGAAGCCGCTCTGAGACTCCTTCGGGTAGTGAAGGGCCATGGGGTAGAAATCCAATCTCCTCTCCTCCTCCTCTTCTTCTCCTCTTTCAATCCCAGCAATGACATCGCCCTGCTGAAGCTGTCCCGCAGCGCGGAGCTGAACGACAAGGTGAAGCTGGCCTGCCTCCCGCCTGCGGGGGAAATCCTGCCCAACGACTACCCCTGCTACATCAGCGGCTGGGGACGCCTCTACAGTACGTGCTTTCACCCTTACGGCTGTGGTGCTGAGCAGGGAGGGAGATGTTGCTGTGTGTGTGCATGCCAGAGTGTCTCAGTATGCATGTGTGTGTGCTCGCACTCACCCCAAAGTCCTTAGGTTCAAGTGGGTCACCGTGTTGGTCTGAACCAGCAGAACAACGTTTGAGTCCAGTGGCTCCTTGAACACCAACAAAGTTTAATTCTCGGTAGAAACACATGAAAGCTTATACCAAGAATTAAACTGTGTTGGTTCTCAAGGTCCCACTGGACTGACACTTTGGTCCCCAAGTCCTTGGTGAGGCATGTGGCATCCCTCTCCTTAGTGCAAGGAGCACATCCCTGGAGCAGGAGGTGGGGAGAGAGAGAGAGAGAGAGAGAGACCTCCTTTCCAAAGGCAATTCAGCTCAAAACAGCCTAAAAGTTATTTGTGGACCCAGGAGCCAACGAGAGCAAAAGGTCTCAGACACCCCTCCTCATGGGGGAAGGAAGGCGGGAAAAGCTCCCTCGAGGGCCTTGGGGCGTCTCTGCCCATGGTGTGAACGGGCTGTGGGTTTTCTTAGCAGCCCAAATGCCCTGGAGGTGGGCTTTATCTTAGGGAAGATTCATCTTCAGAAGAGGGCCCACGGAGCGACCGAATGCCATAGTTGTACCCAGCGTTGGTCTGGTTTCCCCTCTGACATCTACACGACCCCGGCTGGTCTCAGCCTGATGGCGAAGAGGCAGAGGGCTCCTGGATTCCTGCTCCCTACGAGGCGGCACGTAGATACCCCCACCCCGCACCTCGGCCACCTGGTGTTTGCATCCTGCTCCTGCAACGACTGGTCTCTGGACCAGCTCAGCCCCTGCCACGGATTCTCATGGGGGACCTTGCAGGAGGGAGGGAGGGAGGGAGCCCCTTGGGGCCTGGCCTGGCAGGAGACCCCATCCCCAGGCCCTGCCCCTGAAGGCCCCCACTCCACCAGCACGGCCTTTGGTATCGTGGTTAAGTGCGCGGACGCTAATCTGAGAGAACTGGGTTTGATTCCCCGCTCCTCCACTTGCACCTGGCTGGATGACCTTGGGCAAGCCCTAGTTCTGAGAAGAGCTGTTCTTGGAAAAGAGCAGTCTCTGTCAGAGCTCTCTCAGCCCCCCCCACCTCACAGGTGAGTCACAGGGGGTGTCTGTTGTGGGGAGGGGACGGGAAAGGAGTCTGTAAGCTGCTCTGAGACACCCTTGGGTAGTGAAGGGCCATGGGGTATGAATCCAGTCTCTTCTTCTTCTTTCTTTGCAGCTGGCGGCCCCCTCCCCTCCAGACTGCAGCAGGCGGTGCTTCCGGTGGTGGACCACGCCCACTGCACCCAGCCCGACTGGTGGGGAGCCCTGGCCATCCGAGAGACCATGGTGTGCGCCGGCGGAGACATCCGGGCGGGCTGCAATGTGAGTGGGGGACCGGTGGAGCTGGGGCTCTGGGCTCTGTAGGCCACCATCTCGGCTGCGCCTCCTGCTGTGGCAGTGTGGCCCCCCCTCTCCTGAATGGTGGCCTGGGAGAGAGGCCTCTGGGGGCAGCGCAGGGGGTGAAGGTGGTGTCCCACACGGAGCCCGCCCATCAGGCCTCTGACCTCTGCGCCTGGGGTGTGTGTGTGTGTCTCCTCCACAGGGTGATTCCGGTGGCCCCCTCAACTGCCAGGCGGCAGATGGAAGGTGGGAGGTCCACGGCATCGCCAGCTTTGTCTCTGGCCTGGGGTGCAACGCCTTGAAGAAACCCACGGTCTTCACCCGAGTCTCAGCATTCGAGGACTGGGTGCAGGAAGTGAGTGATGGCCCCCTGGTGCTCAGTCACCGGTCTCCGTCAGTGGTGTAACTCATGGGCCTGGGGAGGAGGAATTGGGGGGGGGGGGGGAGCAGAAGGCAGCTTACTGGGAATGGCAACACCTGACTGGGGATCAAGAAGACCCTGCCCAACAAAGTGGAGCCCTGGGCCTGCTGCGGTCAGAGGGCACGTTGCCAGGAAAGGCTTGGCAGATTCCAGCCACAGTTTGGAGTCAGTTCTGGCCCACAGAAATCTTTTCCCATCTTACTAACAGTTTGTGAGGAAAGTTTAATATTCTACTGTGACAAAGTTGCTGTGTTTCGTGGGTTAAATAAACCAGTAACCCACCATAAAAGCCTGAAGTAGCTGGTCTGGAAGCACAAAAAATGGAAAGGGAAAGGAAAGTGAAATATACTGAGTTCAGAGGCATGTAGTGATCAGCTCATCGTTTATTAAAGGATTTCCGCAACTAAAGGACAAACTAGCAGGACCGGAGCCCTGCTTAAATTCCCACCCAACACCCACCCACCCACCCCCCACACACCCACTTCCTGTTATAGGTTATTTACAGAGGCACTCCTGGGCAATAGGTGTGTCCCAGGATCCTATCAGTCTATTGTTCTGGGACTCCAAGCTGGGAGATTAGGCTTAGTACACAACAGAAAAGGGAAAGGGAAAGGGAAAGGGAAAGGGAAAGGAAAGGAAAGGAAAAGAAAGGAAAGGAAAGGAAAGGAAAGGAGAGAGGGCATGTAGCTCAGCCAGGTCAAAATGTGTTCAGGCGGCAGATCCTGACCCAGTGGAGATCCAGAATGATGGCCCCATAACAGACAGGTTCATCCACTGCAGCCAAAAGAACAAAAGCATCTTGTGGCACCTGAATGGCTATTGAATTTTTCTGAGCCGGCGTCCACTTCACCAGATGCAAATTCAAGCTTTGATCATCTGTCCGGTTGTTGAGAAGACAGTCCCTGGGTTCTATAGTTATGATGCATGCATTTCAAATAAGTCCCCCCCCGGTGCAATTGATAAACTACCGTATGTAAAATGAACTCAAGAATCAAACGCCAGAACAGTGTAAAATGAAAACAAGATTAAAGCAATCCCCGAATCAATCAGCAGTCCAATAAACTGCAGTCAGAACTGGCTAGACAAACAGCTTCCCCCCTGAAAATTGCATCCTCTGATCGAGGCAGAAAATAGATTTATCCTGGAGCCCAAGAGGCAGAAGAGGAGGTGCCAAGCGGGTGTTCCGCCCTAAAGAAGATCCTGTCTCTGCCAGCTGCTTGCCCGTTCCGCCAGAGTTGGGGGGGGGACGAGATGAGAGCCCCAGAAGGTAGCCTCAGCAACCAGGCTGGCTGATAGAGGAGGAGGTGGCCTTTCTCTCTCGGCCACGGCCTCTCCCAGGCCAGTCTGATGGCTACCAGTCTGGATCTGGGGGCCACGATCAGAGGAGGGGAGATCAGGGCTCTTCTCCAACCGAGGCCCCTCTAACCGCAAAAACCGACCTCTAGCCCAGGTTTCCTTCCTAAAGACATCCTTCCTTTCCCCCCTTTTCTTTCAGACCATCGCTAGTCATTCATGAGGAGCTGCGTCTTCTTCAGAGATCAGGAATAAAAAGGCTGAACAGTCCTGCTCAGACTCGGTGGTTTCCTTTTTGGGGGGCTATTTTGCATCCAAAGTCAAACACCCTCCCTCCCATGAGCTGGTGGGCATCTCTTCCTCCCCACAGCAGCCAGGCCTCCTTGCGCTTCCTGTCCTCAGCTGCAGAGCCCCACCGTGTTCGTATGCGTCCATACGAACGTCAGAGAAGCCATGTTGGATCAGGCCAATGGCCCACCCAGGCCAACACTCTGCATCACACAGTGGCCCAAAACCAGGCGCCATCAGGAGGTCCACCTACAGTGGGGCCAGACTCCAGAAGCCCTCCCACTGCTGCCCCCCAAGGACACAGAACATCACTGCCCCAGACATCACTGTCCGACTCTTTGCTCTGTCTGGGGGAAAGCTGAAGCCTCAAGACTTCTCAGGCACGACACCCATCATCTTAATTTGTACCCCCCCCTTCCTTGCAATGGAGACCCAGAGTGGCTTACATCATTGTCCTCTCTGCGGGTTTATGCTGGCCGACAATCCTGTGAGGTAGGTTAGACCGACAGAGTGACTGGCCCAAGGTCACCCAGTGAACTTCCATGGCAGAGTGGGCATTCGAACCTGGGTCTCTCAGACCCTGGTCTCACCACAAGGACACATGAACCTGCCTTCTCCCGAGTCTGACCATGCCACCCCTCCATCAGGGTCAACAGGCCCTTCTTGGACTGACAGGGGCTCTCTGGGGTCTCAGGCACAGCACGGTCTTTCTCAGTGCTCGTCATTACCTGTTCCTTTCACCTGGAGATGCTTCAGGGCAGGGTGGGGATTGAACCGGGGATCTTCTGCATGCCAAGCAGATACTCTGCCACAGACCCTCCTCCTCCTCCTCACAAGATCTTGGTGGATTCTGGACAGGCCCCCTGAGGCAGCTGCTCCGTAAAAGACACACCGCGCAGTCCTATCATGGCTTCCAGCGGAGCCAGAGTGTGGGGAGGCCTTCCCCCGCCACAAGGTCAGGGCAAGCTCCTGCCAGCAGGTGGCAGCAGCAACCCTCCAGGAAGGGGAAGGGCGGAGCCCAATATCCCTGGTTCTTTTTCCAAACGGGGAGCCCAGGACTCCCATCGCATCTGGCATGGAAGCTCTCTCTCTCCCCCCCCCCCGTCCCCCCCCCCCCCAGTCCCTGTTTGTGGTCCATCTGCACCACTAGGAATGGCACTTTGCACATGTTCTTTGGCACTCTTTTCTGTAGCAAATAATTAAGGCCAACCTTTGTTGGTCTTAAAGGTGCCACTGGACTCTAAATTTGCTCTGCTTCTTCCGACCAACAGGGCTACCTGGAAATATTTTATCTATTGCATGAAAGCAGGTCCTGGCCAGGCCCAGAGGCAGGACTGAGGGACACAGGGGAGGAGGCAGGGCTATTTTGGGGCAGGAACGCACAGGAATGGAGTTCCGGCTGGCTCCCATTAGCCACGCCCAGCAGGAACTCATTAGCATAATAGGCCACACCCAACAGCAGAAACTCATTCGGATTGGCTACATTAGGGGTGTGTGGCCTAACATGCAAAGGAGTTCCTGCTCCAAAAAAAAGCCCTGGGTTTTGTCAACAAACAAGGTAAAGAGAATAAGAAGCAAAAGGTGGGTGTGGCTGGATGACCACACTTCTGGTAGCATGGGGGTGCGGACTAATGGGCTAATGAGCTATGCTCTCATGGGTGTGGCTGGATATGCTAATGAGTTTCTGTTGTTGGGTGTGGCCTATTATGCTAATGAGTTCCTGCTGGGCTTTTTCTACAAGAAGAGCCCTGGGAGGAGGCCTGACTCAGCTTACCCTAAGCCAGCTTCTCCGGTTACGGGGTCTCCCGTAGCAGGTCCCTCTCCTACCAAGTCCCTGGGGAAGGGCTGCCAATCCCAGCAGGCGGTGTTTCGCAAGGCAGGCAGGCAGGCAGTCAGTCAAAAATGAGTGAGGAAACGGGGGACTTCAGCAGACTGCCACTTCATCGCATCTGTTTCCAGCACCAGACATATCTCTCTGAGAACCAGCAGAGTGTATGAGGTGGAGCGTCAGACTAGGAGATAGATCCAGGTGGGGTCGGCCCCGTTGGTCTGAAGCAGCAGAACAGAGTTTGAGTCCAGTCAGGCACCTTAAAGACCAACAAAGTTTAATTCTGGGTAGCAGCTTTCGTAGTAGCACTGTATGGCTGTGAGAGTTGGACCCTAATGAAGGCCGAGTCCCGAAGAATAGATGCTCTCAAATTATGGTGCTGGAGAAGACTCTTGAGAGTCCCCTGGATTGCCAGGAGCCCTGAGCCTGCTTGCGGGGAGGGCGGGGTATAAATCAAAATAATAAATAAATAAATCAGTCAGTCCGAAAGGAAATGAACCCTGACTGTTCCCCGGACGGCCAGAGACTGAAGCTGAAGCTCAAATACTTTGGCCACCCAATGAGAAGGGAGCACCCACTGGAGAAGAAGACCCTGAGGCTGGGAAAGACTGAAGGTCAAAGAAGAAGAAGGGGACGGCAAAGGACGAGGTGGTCAGACAGTGTGATCGAGGCAACGGACATGAAACTGAGCAGACTCTGGAGCACGACGGAAGACAGGAGGGCCTGGCATGATGTGGTCCATGGGGTCGCGAAGAGTCGGACTCGACTGTGCGACTGAACAACAAATAAGCTTCCGTGCGCATGTGCACAACATGTTAAACTCTGTTGGATGCCCTTTGTTGCTTCTACCCAGAATTAAGCTTTGTTGGTCTCGACTGGACTCAGTCTAGGAGCTAGGAGAGCCGGGTTCCCAGGTTTAAACCTCTCCTCTGCAGCTCCTCAGCAGCTCACTGGGTGACCTGGGGCCTGACCCGCCCTCTCAACCTGACCCTACCTCACAGGGTGCTCGTGAGGATAAAATGTCCGAGAGGAGAACAACCTAAGTCACTCCGGGACCCCACTGGGGAGAAGGGTGGGGTATCAATGAAGTAAAGGCATCACATGTACCCCTCCTGTGCAGCACAGGCAAAGGTATGGAGATGCACAGAATCACAGAGTTGGAAGGGACCTCCAGGGTCATCTAGTCCAACCCCCTGCACAAGGCAGAGAATCCACAAACACCTCCCCCTCCACACGTGCAGTGACCGCTGTTCCATGCCCAGAGGACAACAAAAAACCCTCCAGGATCTCCAGCCAAACAGGCCTGGAGAAAAATGGCTTCCTGACCCCAAAGTGGCGATCAGCATTTCCCCGGGCGTGTCAGAGAGGGCCACGAGAACTAAGCCCTGAGGCAGCCCTTCCTGCCCACCCTCTCACGATCTGCCTCTGTTGCCCCGAAATTCCCATGAGGTGTTTCCATAACTCAGCTGTGACTTGATGGCCAAAAAGAAAAAGAAAATGACACGCAATTTGCCCAGTTCAGAACAAGTCACCTCCATTCAAGGCACTCGACAGCCGTTTTTATGCTCTAGGCCCCTTGGCTGGATGCCGTGCAGGCCACAATTCTACTGTGTCTTTCTTCTTGAAAAGGGAGACGACCCATGTGCAGAGCCGCTGCCCTTCTGTATTTGTCAGTCAACCCTGGCTGGCCAAAGATCCTGCAATGCTGTTGCTCAGCCATCTGTGCATTCTTCTCTCCTTGGCTTCTCCTAAAGAAACCCACCCAGAGGGCACCGGGTGCAGCCAGGCTGAGCACTGCAGTCACAGAGTGTCCCGGAGCCTGGCATATTCAGGGCGCCCTTTCCCCTTTTCCCACTGGGGGGAGGGAGCAGGACAGGACGCACCTCCACCCTAGCCCAATCCTTTCCCAGCCGCACCATCCCTTATTTAGGCCTTTGATGGCCTTCCAGACACAAGCCAAGTGCGATAAGAATAGCCATGAGGCCACAAGAGTGTGAACAAGCCAGGATCCCTGCTCCTCCCCCCCCCCCCCCCGCCAAACCTTTGGGGGCCAGAAGCCATTGCTGCTCCCCACCCAGACCTCCTCCTCTGGAAGCTCTGTGCATCTGCCTTGGGCAGGAACTCAAAAAGGAGACAATGTGAACACTCACTCCGCCCGCCCCCCCACTGTAGCACCCACTGTGATTGTCCCGTTACGTCTTCATGAGTTTAGAAAAGAGACTGCATTTTTGCCTGGAGCTGCCTTCAGTGGGCATCTCCATGAAATTGCTGAGCAGTCGGGTTAGAACAGATAAAAGGGAGTCCTTCTTCACCCAAAGAGTGATTGACGGCTTCAAGAGGGACTTCGATAAGCAGAGGTCCATCAGTGGCCACAAGGGATAGATGGGAACTCTCTGTCTGGGGCAAGGGATGCTCTGTCTTCTTGGTGCCTGGGGGGGGGGGGGCAACAGGGGGGGGGCTTTTTGGGCCCTGGCCCCACTGCTGGA